TGGCCAAGGGAGCCGGAGTACAGCTTCTGGGTCATGTGGCCAGCATGACTAAGCCGCTTCTGGCGAACCAGAACAGTGCACGGAAATGCCGTTTACCTTCCCGCCGGAGTGGTACCTATTTATCTACTTGCACTTTGATGTGCTTTCGAACTGCTAGGTGGGCAGGAGCGTCGTAGGAGTCTACACAACACAAAACACTGTTTCTGTATGTAGGTTTCATTTTATTTGTTTTTTATCTTATATTTTGGAAATGTACATCCAGGTTTCTTTAATTTTTGGGGGGCCCCCCAAGAGAGTGGGGCCCTAAGCTATAGCTTGTTTAGCTTATATGTAAATCTGGCACTGCATGCAGAGCAGCCCAAGCCCAAGCTGCAGCTCCCCCCCCCAAAAAAAACCCCCAGACATTTCCTTTAAAATATAAGCATTTAGCCAGATGGGCATCTTGGCCCCGCAAAAGAGGACATGTCTGGGTTTTCCCAAACATATGGCAACTCTATCGTATACCCATGGTATCCACAAACATAACCCCTCCATAAGTCAGAAGGCAACTATATTCACCATACTAATTAAGTTGTTTAAGTTTCCTGCTATGGCAAAGTAATTTTTTTTTTTAACGTCTCCATTGTTTTCTACCCTACCCCCATGCTGCTGTGTTAAGGTTTTAATTGCTTTATTTGTTTTTATACTTTTTTTAAAAAATGTAGTAGCCACCTTAGGGACCTTGTAAGGGGTTGAAAGGTCGGGATGGAAATTCCAAAATCATCCACGCCTGACATTTTCTGCGGAGAAGATTGAATCTCCAAATTACACAGAGTGTATAGCGGTCTTGGTATTACGGTGCACAGAAATACGTTGTCACTTCCTAGCTGTCAGCGCGAGCTTCCAAGAATCTGTGATAATTGGAGTAATTCATTCAAGGCACAGTCTTTGCTCCCCAAGGAGAGCCATTAAATGTTCCATGGCTTTCCTAGAAGTTGCATATCCTCCTTTTATGGGAAAGAGAGGTGATATCTGCAAAAATGCAAAGAAAGCGGATGGACCTATTCCTCAGATGTATGAGCTTGGAAGGGACGCGGGTGGCGCTGTGGGTTAAACCACAGAGCCTAGGACTTGCTGATCAGAAGGTCGGCAGTTCGAATCCCCGTGACGGGGTGAGCTCCCGTTGCTCGGTCCCTGCTCCTGCCAACCTAGCATTTGGAAAGCACGTCAAAAGTGCAAGTAGATAAATACGTACCGCTCCAGCGGGAAGGTAAACGGCGTTTCCGTGTGCTGATCTGGTTTGCCAGAAGCGGCTTAGTCATGCTGGCCACATGACCCGGAAGCTGTACGCCGGCTCCCTCGGCCAATAAAGCGAGATGAGCACCGCAACCCCAGAGTCGGTCAAGACTGGACCTAACGGTCAGGGGTCCCTTTACCCTTATGAGCTTGGATACTGAACAATATCAATGGCCCATGAGAGCACCACCAATACTATACTTCAGATACCTTCCCTGCACCCAATCTCAGTTAAAATGGAAGCAAATGTGAGCATTTCTCCCTTGGCAAAATTTCATTCTTCCCCCCTCCCACATTTTTATTTTTGAATTTATATATTTCAAAAGAACAGAATAAAACATTTTCCAATTAACATTCAATTAATGTTGGACTTCGCCCCTCCATGGTTTCCATAATTTTCCAAATAATGCTGCATATTGTAGTTATTCTGTGCCTTATCTTCTCCACAATATTTTCAAATGTAAGTGTGACTGCTGTTCTTACTCTAAGGCGTTTTAACATGTTTACAATAATTTTATTAATAACTGACAAACATTTTTCGATTCTCCTTAAATTCTGTTCCTTTGGTGACATTTTGGATGAATTTTGGGGTTAAACCAGAAAAAAGCACATCTTTCACTCCATGTAACAGCAAACTCTGGTGGTGAGTGTCAACAGAAAGAAGAAGAAGAAGAAGAAGAAGAAGAAGAAGAAGAAGAAGAAGAAGAAGAAGAAGAAGTGTATATGCCACCCATCTGACTGAGTTGCTCTAGCCACCCTGGGCTGCTTCCAACAAGTTAAAGCACAGCAAGATATCAAACATTAAAAACTTCCCTGAACAGGGTTGTATTCACATGTCTTCAAAAGTCAGGTAGTTGTTTATTTCCTTGACATCTGATGGGAGGGTGTTCCACAGGGTGGGCACCACTGCTGAGAAGGCCCTCTGCCTGGTTCCCTGTAACCTCACTTCTTGCAGTGAGGGAACCGCCAGAAGGCCCTCAGTGCTGAATCTCTGTGTCTGGGCTATATAATGGGGACGGAGACGTTCCTTCAGATATGCAGGGCCAAAGACCTTTTTTTGACCTTTAAAGCCCTTCACGACCTAGGACCCTTGTACCTACAGGACTGCCTCTCCCAGTATGCCCCACGAAGGACCTTAAGGTCCATAAATAGCAACACCCTAGAGGTCCCGGGCCCTAAGGAAGTTAGATTAGCTTCAACCAGAGCCAGGGCCTTTTCAACACTGGCTCCAGCCTGGTGGAACACTCTGTCTCAGAAGACCAGAGCCCTGCAGGATCTGATTTCTTTCCGCAGGGCCTGTAAGACAGAGTTGTTCCACCTGGCCTTTGGCTTGGAATCAACTTGATCCCCTCCCCCTCTTTCCTTTTTCCTTTCTCCTTCTGTGGTGCAACTCCTACTTGGGGACTTCTGTGGCTTTTTTCTGGCCCACGTAGGACCAGTCTGGATAGTTGGCCTTGGTGAAGATTGACATTTTCATCCCCCAAAAAGTTTTTGATTTGAGTTTCTCCTGAAATGAGGCTGCATTTCAATGTTGTATTTTAATCTTGTTTTTAAGTTGTATTTTAATCAATTGTTTTATATCTGGTGTTAGCCGCCCTGAGCCCAGTCTTGGCTGGGGAGGGCGGGGTATAAATAAAATTTATTCTTCTTCTTATTATAAAGCCATTTAGGGCTTTAAAGATCAGCACCAACACTTTGAACTGCACTTGGAAACATGTTGGGAGCCCATGAAGGACCATGCTGGGAGCCAAATCAGGACTAAACAGAGGTGGGATCTCAATAGGCTTGAAGGAACATCAGTATGGGTACATCATGCTTCATTTTAAAACCTTAAAGGTCCATTCTCCCCAAGGTGTAACAAGCACTCTTCCCATCTGTGATTCCCAACAACTTGTACTCAGAGGCATAAGGCCGCCATGGTTCGTAGATGCCTAGACCAGCTTTCTTCAGCCTGGTGTCTTTCAGAAATAATAGAAACTTAGAAACATGGAATTGTAGAGTTGGGAGGAAACATGAGGACCATTTGGTCCAATGCTCTGCAATGCAGGAATATGCAGCTGTCCGTTGAGCTTCAACTCCCATCAGCCCCGGTCAGCATGGCCAATGGTCAGGGATGATGTGAGATGTAGCACAACAACATGTCCCTTGCAGCAATGACGTGAGAGAGCGCCTCCTCTGTGGTGGCCCCTAGACTGAAATCGCCTTCCTTTAAATGAACTCTGAGCATATTCAGAAGGCATCCTCAGGCGCACATTTTTGCCAAAGCTCTAAGAGAAGTGGTGCCAGTCCTGACTTCAGTTGTATTGCATTTTATTGTTTTAGTTGTTGTTGTTGTTTTGTTGTTTAGTCCTTTACTCGTGTCCGACTCTTCATGACCCCATGGACCAGAGCACGCCAGGCACTCCTGTCTTCCACTACCGCCTGCAGTTTGGTCAAACTCATGCTGGTAGCTTCGAGAACACTGTCCAACCATCTCGTCCTCTGTCCTCCCCTTCTCCTTGTGCCCTCCATCTTTCCCAACATCAGGGTCTTTTCCAGGGAGTCTTCTCTTCTCATGAGGTGGCCAAAGTCTTGGAGCCTCAGCTTCAGGATCTGTCCTTCCAGTGAGCATTCAGGGCTGATTTCCTTCAGCATGGAGAGGTTTGATCTTCTTGCAGTCCATGGGACTCTCAAGAGTCTCCTCCAGCACCATAATTCAAAAGAATCAATTCTTTGGCGATCAGCCTTCTTTATGGTCCAGCTCTCACTTTCATACATCACTACTGGGAAAACCATGACTTTAACTATACGGACCTTTGTTTTAGTTGTGTTGTATTTTATTGTTTTGGAATTATGTAAGTCACCCAGGAACCATTTGGAGAAGAGCAGGTAATAAATGCATTTAATAAATAAACAGAAACCTGGAGTATATGTGAAGGCTAGTGTAGATCATAGCCTTGTGTTTGAACCAGATCAGTCATGCTTTGCTTCTTTGTTTCTCTGGTTTGCCACTGGCATTTGAATTAAAGATTCAGACGGCTGCATCAAAGGAGGAGATGCATCTCTCCTTCTTTCAATATTCCTGCTTTTGTTCTCACCTTGAATTGATCATGAACCAGGCTGCAGGGCGCACTTCTGCTACACTCAGAGAAGGACTGTTTGAGAGTCTTTATCTGCCTTCCTAGATGACACAACTCTGATGGCAGAAGGTGAGGAGGAATTAAAGAACCTCTTAATGAGGGTGAAAGAGTGCAAAATATGGTCTGAAGCTCAACATCAAAAAAACGAAGATCATGGCCACTGGTCCCAACACCTCCTGGCAAATAGAAGGGGAAGAAATAGAGGCAGTGAGAAATTTTACTTTCTTGGGCTCCATGATCACTGCAGATGGTGACAGCAGTCACGAAATTAAAAGACACCTGCTTCTTGGGAGAAAAGCAATGACAAACCTAGACAGCATCTTAAAAAGCAGAGACATCACCTTGCCGACAAAGGTCCATATAGTTAAAGCTATTGTTTTCCCAGAAGTGATGTATGGAAGTGAGAGCTGGACCATAAAGAAGGCTGATTGCCGGAGAATTGATGTTTTTGAATTATGGTGCTGGAGGAGACTCTTGAGAGTCCCATGGACTGCAAGAAGATCAAACCTATCCATTCTGAAGGAAATCAGCCCTGAGTGCTCACTAGAAGGACAGATCGTGAAGCTGAGGCTCCAAGACTTTGGCCACCTCATGAGAAGAGAAGACTCCCTGGAAAAGACCCTGATGTTGGGGAAGATGGAGGGCACAAGGAGAAGGGGACGACAGAGGACGAGATGGTTGGACAGTGTTCTTGAAGCTACCAGCATGAGTCTGACCAAACTGCGGGAGGCACTGTCCAACGATCTCATCCTCTGTCATCCCCTTCTCCTTGTGCCCTCCATCTTTCCCAACATCAGGGTCTTTTCCAGGGAGTCTTCTCTTCTCATGAGGTGGCCAAAGAATTGGAGCCTCAGCTTCAGGATCTGCCCTTCCAGTGAGCACTCAGGGCTGATTTCCTTCAGAATGGAGAGGTTTGATCTTCTTGCAGTCCATGGGACTCTCAAGAGTCTCCTCCAGCACCATAATTTAAAAGCATCAATTCTTCGGCGATCAGCCTTCTTTATGGTCCAGCTCTCACTTCCATACATCACTACTGGGAAAACCATAGCTTTAACTATATGGACCTTTAGGAACACCCTAAGGAAAAGTGGGACATTATGGGATCAAATCAGAAACAACTGGGATGGCTTTTCTAAATCAGGGACACCCCTGGAAAATAGGAACACTTGGAAGGTCTGAAAGTGCCTCAGACAGTACAGGTAGAAGAAACCCATTGTGACTAGTAGTCACTGATTGTCTTGTCCTCCATGTTTGTTTGTTTTTACTCTATTGTGTTTTAAGTGATGCTGGGGAGCTCAGAAGCAAATTGTTTCTGGGAGGTCCTCCCCTTGCCCTCAATCTTGCCTGGTTCCACTATGCAAACTGAGTTGTAAACAACATTGAAAGCAGGATTGTGTACAACCACCATTCTGAGAACAAATCACACAAATGCACAATGGGAGGAAAGGGAGATCCGGAAGCGCTGTAACACCTCCATCGCAGTCACAGTCTAGATCCTCTAAAGTCCTTCTCCTCTTGATTCCATCTTCTATTTTAGGCTCAGATTTGGGAGACGGTTGACATGTCAGTCCCTTCCTCGAGATAAGCTCTCTGATACGCACCAGTATTTCATTTCCTGGAACAGCCTGTCCTTCGCATCATGGTATGAATCAGCTGGAGTGGCGCATCATTAAAACATAATTATACTGCCCCTTCAGCATCTGTATTTCAGCCATCTCCCCCCAATTGACCCCCATTGACCCCCACACACTTTCCCAGTCCCCCCCTCCTCAGCTTTCTTTCACACAAATTTCCCTTCCAAGTTTCTTTGAAGATGTCCTAATGACCTTTCCTTTTTTCAGCTGTAGGGTGGCTGAGGCCCCGTAGCGCACCCCGTCCCTATGGTTGCTATGCGCCCCCTCCTTCCCTATGGGTGCCACACGCCCCTCTCCTTCCTATGTGCTGTGTACCATGGTCCAGGTTACAGGCAGTCGGAGTCCCGGCTTGGTATGTCAGGACCTGGGTAGACATCTGGAAGCAGGAATCAGCAGTCCAGGGTCAGCATTCCAGGGGTCAGGAAGCCAAGAGTCTACAAATCAGGAAACCAGGAGTCAGGAAGCCAAGGGTCCAACAGCCAGGATACCAAGAGTCAGGAAGCCGAAGCACAACTAGGTGGGTAGCCTGTTGCTGTGGGAAAGAGCCAGAAGAAATGCTGGTCTTATATACCCCTCCTGGCCCTTGCCACAAGGTGCTACGAGTCTTCTGTCAAGCCTCACCTGTGTGGCCGTGCCTTGCCCTTCCGGGCCAAACTCGGGAAGGCCCCAGTCCTGCGAGGCCCTACCAGTCACAGGGCATGGCTCCTGCACGCACTCCTGACACTGCGTGCCCCACCTCGCCCCTATGGGTGGTTTGCCCCACCCTTGGGCATGCTGCCCCAGGTGCCTGAGAGGCTTCCTCCACCGCCGGTTGGACCTGAACCAATGGAATCAAATGCCCACAGAGGAGGTTCTGACTAAACATCAGGAAGAACTTTCTGATGGTAAGAGCTGTTTGGCAGTGGAACAGACTCCATGGGAAGATGGTGGACTTTCCTTCCTTGGAGGTTTATATTCTTCTTTGGCGATTCCTCATAGCCGAGTAAGATTGTCTTCCATAAACACGGTTTTAACAATCAGTCTCTAAGTGACTGTGGAGGCCAATTCTGGATCCACACATCCTTCCACAGTGGGGACATTGGTTTCCGGGTGGGAGTTGATCACGGTGTGGATTTGCCAAGCGTGCCTTCCTCTTAGCACGTTTCTCCCTTGCATCCTGAGTTTGAGCATCTTCAAAGCCCATAACACCTTTGGTAAAGGCTGTTCTCCAACTGGAGCACTCACAGGCAAGTGTTTCCAAATTGTTGGTATTTATACTACATTTTTTAAGATTTGCCTTGACACAGTCTTTCAACCTCTTTTGTTGACCACCAGCATTATGCTTTCCATTTTAAAGTTCGGAATAGAGTAGTTGCTTTGGAAGACGATCATCAGGCACCCGCACAAGATGACCAGTCCAAGGTTTATAAACAGAGGTTGGATGGCCATTTGCCGGGGATTCTTTAACTGTGATTCGAAAGCACAGGGGGTTGGACTAGAAAACCCTTGGAGTCCCTTCCAACTCTGCAATTCTATGATTCCTTGCAACACAGCTAGAAAACCCGCATAAACAAACAAAAATCTGATAATTTTGGGGACCCCTGAGTCACAACGTCCCAGTGTGAGAGAGCCAGAAAGCCGAGGGCCTCCTGTTCACTCCATCCTGACTCCTTCGTGCAAAACCGTCGTCTGACAAGAGGCAGCAGGCTAAGTTCAGCAAGCTGCTTTCGTATGCGGCAGGCGTCGGCGCTAGACGTGGCTAATAGACACTCTGCCAGCAGCCGCTGTGTGGAGCCTGGGGAGGGAGACAACTTGTATTCCTTACGTTGCTGATATTAACACTGCCGTGCTGAATACGTTTACCATTCAGCTGTTGGACTCAGTGCTCCTTGTCCATCTGAATTAAGTGACTTCAGCATTGCAGGCAGGAATAAGCTCCTTTCTGCCAGCTTGTTCGATGTTTAGCCTCCCCTTCTTAGCATCCTTTGGCGGTTTTGATGCTTTCTATCTGTTTCAGGGGCTTCCCCCTCTCTCTTTCTATTATTATTATTATTATTATTATTATTATTATTACAGTGGTACCTCGGGTTAAGAATTTAATTCGTTCTGGAGGTCCGTTCTTAACCTGAAACTGTTCTTAACCTGAGGTACCACTTTAGCTAATGGGGCCTCCCGCTGCCGCCGCACTGCCGGAACACGATTTCTGTTCTCATCCTGAGGTAAAATTTTTAACCTGAGGTACTATTTCTTGGTTAGCAGAGTCTGTAACCTGAAGCATCTGTAACCTGAAGCGTATGTAACCTGAGGTACCACTGTATTGTTCATGGATTATTTTTCCAGTTTTATATTTACAGATCATATTTTCATCCTCACACAATAATCCACACAGAATTCCTTTCCTTTCATCCGTCCTCCTCTCCTCTCTTCTTTTTACGACGCAGGGCCAATGAATTCCCTTCCGAATTCTATTTCGTATGCATGAGATGAACAGCCAAACGCAAACAAGCAGCAATTTTTATTTATTAGAGCTATTTCGCTCTGCTTGACTGCGGAAGGTTTTGGCTTTTCTTTTTTGTTTCCTTCCAAATTCTCAGATCGGAGCCACAGAGAGAGAGAGAGTGAGAAAGGGAGATCAGAAAAGATAGCTGTGCAAGAGGTGAAAGAGATTTTGTTGTTGTTTTTTTCCTCGGCTATTGCTCAGTGCGTTTGGAAAACAAACAGAGGGAGAGGCACTCAGAACACTTGTCGTTTTCCTTGCCAAAGAAAAAGAATGGCTCTGTCAGCCCCGAACAGAAGAAATATATAAGACAGTCCTTGCTGCTGGATCAAACCAAAGGCCCATCTACTCCAACAGCCTGTTCTCACAGTAAATGATGATGATGATGATGATGGATTCAGACAATAGAAAGTTAGCAACTTCTTCTTCTTCTTCTTCTTCTTTTTCTTCTTCTTCTTCTTCCTCTTCCTCTTCCTCTTGAATTTATATTCTGCCCTATACCCACAGGTCTCAGGGCAGTTTATAGAATAAAATCAGAATATAAAACCACAAAATACTTAACCAAAATAAAAACAGTAGCCCAATAACCCCCTCCCCCAACACATTTGGATTTCACTCCCCTTAAGGACCAGATGAACTGCATCCAAGAGTATTAAAAGAACTGGCAGATATGATCTCAGAACCACTGGCAGTCATCTTTGAGAATTCCTGGAGAACAGGCGAAATCCCGGCAGACTGGAGGAGGGCAAATGTTGTCCCTATTTTCAAAAAGGGGAAAAGAGAGGACCCAAATAATTACCGCCCAGTCAGTCTGACATCAATACCAGGGAAGATTCTGGAGCAGATCATTAAGCAAACAGTCTGTGAGCACCTAGAAAGGAATGCTGTGATCACTAATAGTCAGCATGGATTTCTGAAAAATAAGTCATGTCAGACTAACCTGATCTCGTTTTTTGACAGAATTACAAGCCTGGTAGATGAAGGGAACGCAATGGATGTAGCCTACCTTGATTTCAGCAAGGCATTTGACAAGGTGCCTCATGATATTCTTGTAAAGAAGCTGGTAAAATGTGGTCTTGACTATGCTACCACTCAGTGGATTTGTAACTGGCTGACTGACCGAACCCAAAGGGTGCTCATCAATGGTTCCTCTTCATCCTGGAGAAGAGTGACTAGTGGGGTGCCACAGGGTTCTGTCTTGGGCCCGGTCTTATTCAACATCTTTATCAACGACTTGGGTGATGGACTCAAGGGCATCCTGATCAAATTTGCAGATGACACCAAATTGGGAGGGGTGGCTAACACCCCAGGGGACAGGATCACACTTCAAAACGACCTTGACAGATTAGAGAACTGGGCCAAAACAAACAAGATGAATTTTAACAGGGAGAAATGTAAAGTATTGCACTTGGGCAAAAAAATGAGAGGCACAAATACAAGATGGGGACACTTGGCTTGAGAGCAGTACATGTGAAAAGGATCTAGGAGTCTTGGTTGACCACAAACTTGACATGAGCCAACAGTGTGACGCAGCAGCTAAAAAGCCAATGCAATTCTGGGCTGCATCAATAGGAGTATAGCATCTAGATCAAGGGAAGTAATAGTGCCACTGTATTCTGCTCTGGTCAGACCTCACCTGGAGTACTGTGTCCAGTTCTGGGCACCACAGTTCAAGAAGGACATTGACAAACTGGAACGTGT